ACGATTCGAAACCAGGGCCTCCAGTGCTTAATGTAATTCTACGCAACTATTTAGCTACAGGGGCGATCAGGGGGGATTTTAAGTTAATAGTGAGAATACTAAATACAATTACGATCGTGAGGATTATTGTATTTAAGTTCGCACAAGGCAACTTTATACTTTATCGATAGAATTTCCATTTTCCCGCGCCTTTTGTCGAAGAAATGAATCGATGATATAAGATGGTATTAATTTTCCGTAGTCGCGCGGCCTCACTTCCATTCAACCTTTGATTTACGGAGAAATAAAATGGCGTCGCTCTTGTATTTCCAGTCACGCTGAGAATTGTAATTTTAAGTCCTTTTTCAAATTAAACCGGACACTGAAGAAACACATTTTATTTCCACGCCATCTTGTTGTTTAGTCAGAGAAATACATTTTTGATTTACATTATAGTTTTGGACGAAAATATAATTAATAGCGCTTCGGACAGACTATCTCTACTCTCTAGAATTTAATTACGTTTCCTCAGAATAAAAATTCTACTGTTTAGCTTTCCACTACAAAATCTTCCGCAAAATTAGCCAGCTTACATAGCGCTAATACAAAGCCTCGCCAACAACAGTGATTTATTATGCGATGCAATATTAAAAGGTGAGATGCACTAACTTATGAGCTAAGCAAATTACCGACTAGTTTACGTTTTAATAAAAAGCGAGCGCAACTTTTGCCGGCCGGCGCGTGGCGGGCGATTTTTCTCCGAGTTTTCAACGAAATTTACAATTCTATTTCATATTTACCTGAGGGGTGTGGCAAGGGGGGATTCGCAGCGACGACTGTTTTTCACAGTCAATTGCGTGTTAACTCAGAGTTAAATAACATACATACATACTAATAACGAGATTATGGTAAAAATACAACTCCTGACCTATACGATCCCTAAATTTGTATTGTGAACAATGAATGAACCCCTCTTTGTCGGTTATCGGTGGCGATTAAAAGAATCGGAACTCGCTCAGTAATGGCGCAACAATGGCTCGTCGATAAACGTTGAAACCGCGAATCGGTTTTATCGACGTTCTGCATAAATATTAATTACGTTTTTGTGGACAAACGGCCATCCAATATTGAACACGAATCAAAAGGGCTCAACTCGATCGATACGTGCCGTGACTAAATAATGTCTTGTCTCGAAAAAAATTGGAATAAAAGCAGTATTGACAAATATGTACCTCCAAAAGCAGCTTCTACCACTTCGTAATGAGAACTAAAAAGACTCACTCTCGACTCTTTTCAATCGGAAAGTTTTTAAAAGAAAATGTTCTCAAAGACAAGAAGCTTTTGGCAAAGTGTAGAACAAGATGTGGCCGCCAAGTCGTGCTTCTTTCAATTTGTGTTAATTTCTTTATCAAATTAATGATTGTGACCTTTACGACACCAGACACTTTCCTAAAACTCTTCTAGACTTCGACCTAATTAGATAATGATGATTTTTAATCGAAATAATGTTTATTTTATTTAAAAAAATAATTATTTCTAAGCAACGTATGCGGCTCGTAATTAAAATGACGTTTGTTTGATTTCCCTCAAGAAGCCGCGGCCCACGTAGGCTTTTGCATGGCTTCACATGACTTGTAAAATACATTGCTTTGAACGTCAACGATTGCTTAATTTTATATTGAGGTTATGGCGCAGAGCGACATTTGTTTCATATTACATTTAAATTAAAGTCTGAGTGTTAGTCGTGTTACGCTACGAACGTTACTGGTAACGTTCTTTCTTATCTGTCTTTGGTTGATTTGTAAAGTAGGTAAAAAACTAATTGCTGATTTTAGTGCCATAGATTAACAAAACATTAAGGTTTAAAATAAATTTAAATGATTTTATTGCAAATGAAATAAAAAGATCTAGTAAGTGGCGAGTAAATAATTCAAAAAAAAAATATTACGGATAAATAAATGAATGTAACCACAACCTAATAACACCACAACAGTCTGAATTTACAATTACAGCGTTGATCAATATTGGTAAGATCTAATAAATAAACTAAAATATCAATATGAAATTGCTACTTGTAATTCAATATTCTAACTTTTAGCATTGCATTAATGAATTGAGTTTTGCGAGTTGTCATTGCGTGTCTGCCGCGTTTTAAGCAAACCGAGTTACGGCTCTTAGGTGTTGCGAGAGATTTCCGCCGCGATAGTGCCAAACTTTTCCCGAGCTTTTCACTTCAGCGTAGCCGGAACATAGTCGCAATCTGTTTGGGAAAACTCAAGAAGACGTGATCACTTGCAACTGTATCTCTAAACAAAATGCCTCTTCAATGTTTGGCACGTCGGCTGGTCTCGGGCTAAGGAAATTGTAAAATGAACGCGGATGTTATGTCAATAGTCAGTTCTAATGGAGGTGTAACGTCGTTGTCTGAGCTCGGCCCCGTGCACGGGGGCGCCATCTAATTGAAAAATTGAACGGCGCCGCCTCCGAACAGGAGATGGCAGTTTAGTTCGTACGATTCGACTTCTTACAAAACAGCAGAATTAAATAGTAAAAATACAACACATAGCTTTATGTACAGGATAACTAATATAAATTGCTTAGTTAGCCCCCTAGTGAAACGGTGAAGTAATTGTTATTCCAGTACATGCATATTGCTTAATGCATAACCTAGCCAGACCGAGTTTAGTTTACGTTTTTTGCACACTCTTGTGGTACACGTTAAATACGTCCTACATTTAAGAGGAACAAGGAATTCTAAGAAAGATTGTGGAATAATTTCTTCGAAAAGTCATAATATCGTACGGTGCGAAGGCGAGCGAGGCGGGGACACTGCATCTTCGCCTGGCATACTTGACTCTCGCCTTTACAAGCTAACGGCCGACATTGTTTTACAGTTACCCTTCGTTGCATACTTTATGAGCCGCCGCATAACTTCGCATCCCCTGTATCACGTAGCATCTGATACGCCGTACGACGCTAACAGTATTTAGTACAGTGGATGGCAATGGTGTAATTTGTTGAGCAACTTTAAGGCACAAACGTACCTTCGAAATGTTTTGAAAGACCTAAGACATTTAATTGGTATGGTAATTATTGAAGTTTCCCAAAGCATCCATCGACCGACGACCCTTTTGATTTTTGTATTATTTATAAACTTGATAATGGAAGTAATATTAAATGTTAAATTGTCGTAAGTTAGTCTTCACTATGCTTCGGAATAGAATAATGTAGGTACATAATGCAAATTGAAAGTATATAAACGCCAATAAAATGCCTAATGTGAACATTCATTAGTATAAATAAAAACAAGGTGCCAATATCTTTTTAATTAACTCCGTCTTTCTTGACCTTTGGAAACAGTTTTAGTAATTCCAATGTGAAATGATAGCCAAATTCTTCAAATATATATTTATTGATTGTTCATTAACGAAAAAAGAGTGAGATCTAAATGGGTACCAAGTCCCATTGCTCGGCACATGCACATACAAAATGTATACATATCGAAGGATATTATTTTATACAATACCATACATATAGGCTTAGTCTGTCCTTAGCCAATACAAGTTCTCGATCGATTTAACCTATTGGTATTAAATGACTGAACAACCGACTGAGACGTATTTACGAAATGTTTATAAGCGTTCGAGTCATAAAGATAGTATACACACGCCGCTCACCGATTCACTTGAACTTGGCTGACACGCTGTCGAGTCTAGATCGATTTGCAAGGAAAATTTTGTACATATTTATTGTTTACTCTATTGTATGTTAATTCGAATATTTCATTTTTAAACGTTACTATGCTCGATGTCTATGTAGCGTCGATAATGGCAATACGTTACGACTTTGTCTACGCACAAAAGTGACTTGAGGCAATTCTAACAAAAAATAAATTCAATAAAAAAGATATTGACAATTTTATTTGTTGGATCACCGGGTGCCGATTTCAATGAAAGATACATTTATAGTGCTACTGCCTATCTTTGGGAGATGTAGTGCACAGTGATCTATCGCAAACACTCACTTTTGAACCTTATTAAATGTATATACACACGTTTATTTAGTTGCTCGCGGTACAGTTAACTTCTTTTAAAGAGTAACTGTACGCGTAATTTTAAAGAAGGTATTTAAATTTGCTTACGCTGTTAACCGCTTCGCATAAACACACAAACTATTCTCCTTTGTGTGAACAAAGAAGATCTTTTTCCCTGCTATGAAAACAAATATAACAAAACTATATAATCAAACTTAAGCAATGCAATGGTTAAGCGTGTTCCATAGCGTTGCGTTGAGCACAAGATGACCTGGGTTCGTATGCTGCGAAAACAGTACATTTTTTCGGTCGGGCAGGGGACAGTAGTCGGATCGACTACCTGCACGTGGAATGAATACAGAAATTTGATCGGCGGACGGAAAACGAGACTCCAACTTCTAAATCGTTCTTCGTCTACTAAGGCTTTAGGTCCGGTTTTAGTTGTAAAAAAACTTTCGCTAAATCTAACTTTAACCATCTTAGAAATGCCGTTTTACTATAGAAAAGCCAGACATATTGTTGTGGCAAGTTTATGATTAGTTTTACATAGTTTCCGCCACTGTACACAAATTCTAATTAGTAAGTGCGGTCGGTGAGGTGTAGCGGTCGTTATGACTAATTATGAAAATAGTAAAAATATGTATGTAGGTACTGTAATTGCCTTTAAAACCGATTTTTTTAACATACGATTGACATTGATTGCACAACTTTGACGGAGTGAACGTCGAATACATTTAAGGTATTTCCGTATTTGCTTTTTCTAGTATTTTGAGATAAATACGAATTGAGTTATTCTCCTTCATATCAGAAAACATATCGTTTATTTGTTAGTGTAAATTGTTCAGAAATTAAGTAAGTAGTTTTCGGTTTGTTTGCTTATTTGTTTTTTTTTTTAAGTAAAATATTGTTTCTTCATTACTGTTTACTTCATTAAATTATCGTAATGTTCACTTTTATGTGAATGCACCGTGACGTTATAGGTGGAAAAATGCCTCCAAACGCGACGGGTGCCTCAGTGGACGACGGGGAGGTACAGAGGCACAGCGACCTCATGTCCACTTGGTGGAGTCCACGCGGTGAGCTCAGAGGATTGATTTTCTTCAACGAGCTCAGGTTTGTTTCCAAGTTTCAAAAGGTTGTATTAAAAATACACCTCTGTCTGTATTTTCAGAATTCTTAATTATTACTGGTCGTTGACAGGGTACCGTTTATAGCCGAGAGCCTTGTTCCGAAAAAAAGCAGACAATCTTCGTCGAAACCTTTAGCTGGAAAAAAAATTCTAGAGGTCGGGTGCGGCGGAGGTCTTTTAACAGAAGCAAGTTTATTTTTTGTTATTTTTTTTTACCTATTTGATAGCGAGTTACATGCGCAAATATAACAAATTAAACCTACACTCAAAATGAAAGAATCAATGTTTAATTCACAAATAACTTGACTTGCGAAGAGGAGCTCATTGGCTTTTGCCATAAGGTGATATTAAGCAAGCGATGGAGACATACAGTTCCACAAATATAGTCAACGACAAACCCTGCGAAAACATTTCGAGCAAAACCGGGGGCAGTTAATTGCTATACGTGAAAGTGTTACTGCGATTCTAAAACTATTTTTTTCGTGTTTTTTTTTATAATAATGACGAGAATAATGTTTTCTAAAGACGCAGTAATTTTTTTGCAATATTGATATTGGTTGACTGCTCGCTCACCTTGAACGTAACGACCTCTGTTTCAGGGTAAACATAATGATTATGTTTCTGATTAAAGAGATAATTTTATTTCTTAACTCTTTACCTGTAAGTTTATTTTAATTTACTCGCTCCACGATATTCATTTTTTAATGAACTATTTAAAGAATACAGATAAATAATATTGTGCGCTTAACTTGACAATTGAGATAGTAAAATAATTGACCATCGAACCTCACCTAATCAGTTAATGAGCCTGTGCAAAAACTAGGTATGTATAAAAGAAATCGCTACTTTGTAAACGAACCGATACTGACGACGTCCAAGCCTTCTTTATTTTGTATCTTACCCTATTGATTAATTACTTTTATGCTGAAAAAGTCAAATTCCGCGGGAGTTGTATTGATATACTGAGGACGTATCTCACGAACCGTAGTCTACTAAGAGAGAGAGAGAGTAATAAAAGTGTTTTATGCTAGGAGTTGGCGAAACTGGGAGCCGAGGTGACCGGAGTAGACCCGAGTAGTAATCTGATCGGATTGGCACAAGAGCACAGCAAAGTCGATCCACGGGTTGCTGCAAACAGACCGACGTATCTCAACACGACCATTGAGGTAAGATATTTGACGAGAGTAAAGTCGAAGCCGTTCGCTGTGCTGTACAACTAACGTCCGATTTATGATTAATGTTTGTTCAGGAACATTCTGCCAAATTCCCCGACCACTACGATGCAGTCATAGCCTCTGAAGTGCTGGAGCACGTTGCCGACGTGAACATCTTTCTCGAATGCTGCGTGGCCGCTCTGAAACCCGGAGGAAAGATTTTCCTCACCTCTCCCACCAGGACTCGCCTAGGACAGTTCCTAGTGATGGTGGTTGGCATTATTTTGACAATCGTTCCGAAGAACCTCATGACGTACTCGAAATTCACGAGGCCGGATGAGATCACGGACATACTTGAAAGAAGTAAGTTCTTACTGGCCGTCAAAATATGGTTCTGAAAGGTTTTGAGGGTGATTTTCGATTCATCGAAATCGAGACAAGGCTCTAACACTTTGATTTTTTCCTTTCTATATATTTAGTAATACCACGAAACTAATCGTAATTGACAATTGCTTTTTCTTACAGATAACTGTGAAGTCGACGAGGTACGCGGGCTGTTCTACTATCCCTTCATAGACAAATGGCAATGGGTGTTCTTCAAATCGCTTTGGTATGCTTTGTCGGCCACAAAGCAAAAGTGATTACTGGTCTTATACGTCGGTTAAAGATGGCAAGATAAAAATTTGATTCATGTTAAAGACATACCTTCAGATACATTAAATCTATTATATTTTACTTAAACTGTTTTTTACTACAACCAATGAAAGAATTGTACATACTTAAATTTAAAAACAAAAGCAGATATATTCCAATTTTCTTCTAACATAGCCAACACGACACATTATGAGAATTTGATTTTGCACGATCGGTCCTATTTCATCCTAGTCAAACAAAATTTTTTAGATTTCTTATCGCAATATAAAAAAATGAAATGCACAATTCTACATAAGCATTGCTGATTTTGTGAATCTGATCATGTTCACGTTTGGTTCACCGACCAAAAAGCTCGTCCCGACCCTCAAGCGAACACGAGTGCACTCAGCTGATCGCCCTAATCACCGTAAGTGGATTAGCACTTTACGGAGCTGCCCCGCACTGTCAACAGGGCCTCTGGCCTCGTTAACTTTGTAATCTGACCCCGCAAACCCACTGTTTCGACTCATCACGGGGCACCATTTGTCACCTAATTCGATTCTGCGAAGAGTTCTGTTTGAGCTCGAATTTGAATATATAGGCAAGAAGTAAATCATGAACGTAAGTAATTATGGTTACATCACAAAAAAACGGCTAAGTTCTAGTCGGACTCTAGGAAGAATGCTTCCGTATCATCCTTGGCCATGAACAGACAAGATAGAGATTCAATCCGCGTAACATCGATAAGATGCGATGTCGTAGTTACAAACGCAAATATAGACCGCGTAGTTCATAGTTCTATGTACTTTAAATTGTAGTAAAATGTATGCATTATAAATTTGACAAGAATTTTGCGAAAACAAAGCCTATTAACTATGGTAAGTGAGATTCTACGATCTCTTTTTCAGGTTTCAACTCGGTCCCTACAGTTCAGGATCGTGTCAATTATTTTAAAATGGGTTCGTAAGAGACCTCAACTCTCTTGCGAAAGATATTAAAACGGCTTCACTCTTCATTTTATGAACATCATAGATGTCATATGGCTGGGGTATTTAGCCTTCCACCATATGGATGGAGCCCTATGTTTGTATCCTCCTCCTATTATCCTCTATTACAAGAAAATATGGGCTTAGATGATTGAAGACGTGCTTCAAGATTTATCGACATGATGTTTAAAGTCTTCGAAACAAAAACGCAATTTGCCTTAGTATATACGTAATATCGTATATAATAAATCGCAGTACGACCAAGCCGATATTGTTTTCAAGTCCAAAACTAAAAAACCGAAGTCATATTATTTCCTATAATAGAGGGAACGATGCTTCCTACATTATAATCCCAGCTACCTACCAGCTAGCCGAAATAACTACAATAAATCGTAGTACCTACCTACGTGCATACCTACTGTAAATTATATCTACGAGTGCCACCAACAGGCCGACATCTGTCAACGTGACTATAAGTCAAACGTGATAAGTCACAAAGTTGGATAAGTAATGATATGTATAAAGTCTAAGAATTAATAACATACTTTGAAGATGAAGATGTGAGGGTTTTGTATTATCAAAAATTAATACAAAGATTATACACACATTGTTAGATTTTTGTTAAGACAAATAACTAAAAATCAGAATATTTGAAGTAAAAGGTGGATAATTTCGACCGTGTCAGACATGCTAATTAAAAGAGACGATACGTAAACAGATAACAGACAGACACATTAACTTGTAAGTCATTGCAATTTTAACAGTTGGAAAATTTTAAAACCCGTTTAGTTATTATTTACCACAATTCGCTCAAAAAAATAAATACATAGAGGACTATTGTTATGCCTTTATGTATTTTTTTAAGATCACTAAGATGGAGAAACAATATCGTATATCGCATTAATAAAAATCTTATAAATTTTTTATTGTATATGAAGAAAATGAAAAGTGGAGAGTTGTTTTTGTGAGAGTTTTTGTGCGTAGTCACTTAAAATGAAGAAAATACCTAACACGAATGAAAAGAAAAATTTTGTGTACAATATAAAAACAACGCTTTGAGCTGTCCCTTTGTATTTCCAAATTGAGGTGCGAGATATCACCCAAAAATTATACAAACGATGACACACAATGCAAGTTTAAATTTCTAGAGCTGCGAACTCATAAAAGTCACAGTCTACATGACGTGGGTTATATATTTTAAAATTAATTTGAATGACAACGCGGGCAAGACCGTGGAGCGCGCCTAGTTCTCCATATATGACGGCAACAAACGTGCCTCTGAATAAAAGAAACTGACTGACACTGTAAATAAGAAAACTGGTTCCTAATAAAGGTACCGCAGTGTAATTCGTGCCTTTCGTGAGCATATTATATGCTTCGTTTGGAGGAGTTCAGTTTTGTGCGACCATCTTTGCAGAAATCTCGTCAGTAAGTATTTTATCCTTTTTTTATTGCAAAGAAAATCCGTTGTCTTCAATAACATCAGCTCAAATCTCCCGTGGCCACGGGTTATATAAAATATTTTGGAGTTCAATTTCTAAATATGTTGGCTACGAATATTTTCTGAAAAAACTTTAATTTGGAATGGTGTTATCCTACACTCATTTGGCCACTATTAGAAGCTTGGCTTACGTTTTCATTTATGTGCATAGGGGACAGAATGTCTCACGAAAAGCTAAGCACCGTGGACGAAGGAGAAGTGAACCATCATGCCAACTTGATGCAATCGTGGTGGGAACCCAACGGTAGCCTTAAGGGATTGCACAGTTTGAACAGGATCCGGTAAATATACGATTTTTTAAAGTTACCGTTCTTCAAAACCTAAGCCAACCTACATTTTAGGCAGGAGTATCATGAGCTGTATTCATTGTTAAGTTATCAGGAGTTTTCGCTTAATTTTCCTCAGTATGCCTATTACGGCGGCAGAAAGAGTCCTTGTCTCTCATATTATGAAAATAAACAAATTTGTAGGATACCACTCGTGCTCGACGCTCTGACCACTCCCGCTCAACGAAGCGGTCCCAAGCCCCTCGCTAACATTAAGTTATTGGATATCGGATGCGGTGGCGGGATCGTCGCCGAGGTAAGGAGGAGTTAAGTTATCGTAATAAATATAATATCCATCTCCATATAAAATAATAAATGCATAAAGATTTAAAACCGCCACTAAACGCGAAATATTATATTTTAACATAGTTGTCTTTAAAAAACATTTTTTTAAATCAGCGATATTCCTTCGCTTCCAGGCTCTAGCCAAGTTGGGAGCGCAGGTCACTGGAGTGGATCCAAGCAGTATTTTAATAGATTTAGCCAGAGAACACAGCAAAGTCGAAAAGGAGGTGGCGGCTAACAAACCTACATACTACTGCACTACTATTGAGGTACGTAAATAATGAGATTACATTAGACTTCTCAAGCGCACGTATGTGTGTGTATATGCTACACAATATAAAATTTTGAGGGTCTTATTACCCTCAAAATATTTTGTATGTATCTATAATTCGAAAATTAAAATTGTCTTGGACATGTTTTCTGGACAAAATAACTTTTTAGCTAAAATGTGGTGTTCCTCAAATTGCAATAATACCACGAAAATGACGAATGTATAATTTTTCCCGTCTTACGAATGGTTGTTAACAAAACTCAAATAGTACGTTTTTCTTGTTAAAGTTTGTGTTTATTAAGTTAACAAGATTTAAGCGGACGACTGTTGTCATGCCAAAGATCGTATAATTATGAATTATTTTTATATTATATCATTATACTGGGTAAACACGCATAGAAGGCGTTCTCCTTAAAATAATAATCGTATGTAAAAATGAAACACAAACTGTTTCGTGTATACGGATATTAATTTGATTTAGTTTTAATTGTGGTTTCAGGAGCACTCTGAACATTTTTCCGAATACTACGACGGCGTCGTAGCCACCGAGGTGGTAGACCACGTGGCAGATGTCGATCTGTTCTTAAAGCACTGTTGCGCTGTCCTGAAGCCGGGTGGAAAGATCTTCATCACCGCCCCGAACAGAACGCGTCTATCCCAGTTTCTAGTAATTTTTGTGGCAGAGAACATAATTAACATGATCCCGAAGGGGACGCACACTTATGAGAAATTCATAAGGCCGGAGGAGGTGTCCGCCATTCTTCAGAAATGTACGACATGAGATTTAGAAATTATGTTGTTTTTACCCTACAAGTTGAAGGATTTCAATTTAGATTTGTATTTCAGATGACTGCAAGGTAGACTGGACATACGGAATGTTCTATCTTCCGTTCTTCGATCGCTGGCTGTGGCTGTATTTCCAGGCTATGTGGTATGGTCTCGTCGCTACAAAGGCACCCAAGTGAATTCTGCATTTTTCGTTACACATGTTTCCTTCTGAATATATTCATGTTTGTTCAGCGTTGGATTTATTTTTCCAGATTTAGATTTAAGCACTAAAAGGGTCATGAAAGGATAATATAATTAAAATGAAAATACATTTTATGGAGAAATTTAAATTATTTTCTGCTATTTTTATATTTCTAAATTATCTCTTTCAAATCTACCTTTTTACTAAAGAAATTCTGAATTAACAAACGTAAAAGTTTATCATTAAAACCAATATGCAATCGACGACTCCACTTCTTCACAAAAGTTTTAACTCACTATTGAAAAATCTAGGCTAAGTTAATAAAATCAACAGCATATTGTGTTTTACTATCGTTGTTTGCAATTAATCCAATAACCGTTCGAGATGAGAATGGTGAGACTGCGCTGTCTTAATTGTTTATTACACTAATTATACAAAATAACTATTATATAGCTATCTTGTCTAGTAAAGGAATTAATAATAATGCATATTATCTAACGCCAAGCAAAGTATATTTTCGTATATAGTATATTTATTTTTCTCTTTAAAGGTCATAAAATGATAACAGAATGTCGGTCTAAGTGGTTTATTTTCCGGATTAGTTTGCTCCATACGAGAAAACAATAGATATTCGATTCAAATAGAATGATAGTATCAGCCGAAGAGTGCATTATCGGTAAGGAAACTTTGCGGGCCTATGTCCCGATATGATTTGGGAAAGTGAAACAGTTAGTGAAACTTTCACGACTTTTCTAACGTTTTCTAACTCGAGTCGAGAAGTTAAACACGGAGCCGGGTTTAGGTCGATCGCTTTTATTTTTTAACTCGCGGCGCCCGTTACTCCGCGCGCGTGAAAACTTTTCATCGGTTTCCATGGAAGTTCCGAGGTTTTTCTGCATAAAACGTACGCTGCATTATATATAGCCAATTAACTGTACCTACATGTTTAATTTATTGTAAAATTCATATGAAGCACGGTTTAAAAATTATTAGAGTTAATTAAAGGTACTTTTTGATATGCCATACTAAAACTTCTTTAAAAAATTGCCAACTCAAGCGATGATAATTGACGATGACAAAAATATATAAATGACCGCTGCGAACCATTGTTCTATTTATGTTGTTCTCAATTGAGAAGTCATTCATTCTCCGATTAGCTTAGAAATTTGCTCTCGACCGCACAGACAAATTCGAAAGGCAGCGTCGCGAAAAAGTTTTGAAATATCTCTAATGGTCTTTGTCTTTCTGGAAAGTTCAATTACAAAAGTGCGGGTCATGCATAAATTAAACGAAAAAATAAGGGATGACGGAAAGTGGCATTCGAGGATAATGCATATTAATTGGGAGATAAGACGACAAACGGCGACGGCGCCCGCCTGCTGTCTGAGGCTGGAAGACTGCGAATAGTGTCAACGATGGTCGTTCATTAAATAGTGGTACTTCACGGAGTTCCGTCGCTAAGACACGAGCGAACGTAAACTATTTATGCGTCAGTAACTCGATCACTATAACACAATATACAATAATGACTCGCTCGGACATAACGATCGACATTCATCCACTGTTCACCCCCACTCCCGTTCCCCCATCTCCCCCCTTACACCTGAGATAATACGATAGTGTTCATTTGTCTGCGGAGATTGCTTATGAAAAGAAAGACGCGATTGCGGCCGTATATACTCGTACGTAGTTCGTAAGATATTTTACGCGTTTTTCACTTCAGAGAGAATAGACGAGTGTATATATTATAACACCCAATTAGTTCATGACCAAAATTGTCCATTCAGCCTTCTCTCTTCTTTAACCTCACGGAGCCCCAAGTGCCCACCTTGAAAGTTAGATCTAATGTTATATCTTAAGATCTCGCCGCTCGATTCTGCAGGGATCTGTTATTTTTAATAAATTATTTATAGGATGGTATATGCAACTTTTTTGAAAAGACAACCCATGCTCAGTCCATTGTATCTTTTCGTATTAACATCTTAAGAATAATTTGATAAAAAACGTATAAAATGGTATCTCGTACTTGCACTAATAAACGAGCGAATATTGGCTGTATTACATGGCAGCGAACGAGCAACTTTGATATTTCAATTAAAAATAGACGCGCGTTTAGCAAAGCCGAGTACGTGTGGAGCACGTGCAGCCCAATACCGCATTCGGTCCGATCTCAAGTGCTATTTGAGTCGAATGCAGATGCGGGCCCCGATTTCCCGGCTCTCGATGGCTTTGGGAAAATTTTCAATCCTCTGCGCGACGTGCGTTGAAATCGTGAATTAGTGTCGAAAATTATTTTAGAGAGACGAACCCAATGATAACAAGAATTTGGATAAGAAAGCCACATAAGCTAGTAACAAGTATCCATCAAACCCAACACTGTGATTACTCTCCTTGTATTAGATTAGCACATAGAATAGTCCTGGGCCATCTATAAAATCGATACACATTCGTAAGAAGCCGCAGCGAGCTACGCTCGTATTACGGAGCTGAAGTTAATTCCTAAATTCCACACATTCCTGAGGCTGAGCTGAACTTATATGGAAACGTAGTGTTCAGTACAGCCTCAGGAATAGCCCTGTAGTGTAGTCTACAAGGTCTATTGCAAAATCTGTATAACTCAGGTGTAGCTAAGTAATCCCTGAAAAATATAACATCGAAGTAATTCAGATTCAATAATGTAGATTTTTACCGACTGACAACAGGCCGAACTTTTGAATCTACTCATATAAATATAACAAAATAGGGAAATGTTATATTATGTTTTATGTCACACTAGCCAGTTAAAAAGACAGAACATTCTTGATTTTTAAGCGTATAGAAAATATAGTGAGGGCAAAACGCGGCCATCGATCTAAATAAAAGAAATACAATTATAGTAGATCTCATCTCAAGATATAAATGAGTATTGTTTATTTTTAAAATTCCTCTATCCGACTCCCAAATTTCCGTAAAAGGTAATATTCCTGTCTACAATTCGCCAAACCGCTCGCGCTATTCGAAAAAGCGCCTCTAAAAGAGGTTTCGGGCGTCTCCCGGGGGTGTCGGGTTCGGGGTCCGGGGTGGTACAGGTACGATTAAACTTTTCCCCGGTAAAACATCCCGGGCTCGTGCGGCATTCTTGTGATGCGCACATGACAAGTTTCCTAGATAAATTGCGCCACGGCGGGTCGCCTGCTATTTATTTAATGTCGCCGTTTTGTAATAAAAGACTGGCGCTCTCGCCGTCACGTTGGATGAGTACTAAGAAATAGTGTTGATCGAGTACTAACAGTTAATATACCAGAAATGGAAAACCATCAGGAAAAAGTTAAACGTCTCCCTACAATAAATTCTGATTTCTTCAGCCGCCGTTTACAACGATATTATACTCTGAAAAGAAAAGTATGTAACAACGAAAAATCTCATTTACGACGCCGAACAGCTGAATCGCTGGAACGAGAGAATATTCAGGTTGAGTCGTCGGTTCCCAGATCAACTTAACGAATGTAAATACGACTGCGCCTATAATAATAGAAGAAGGGAACGATTCCCGCGACCTGTAGTGTTTTCGTCGGAGCGAAACCTTTTCGCACATAAAACTCGTCGAGTTAAAAGTGTTCTTAGCGCCTAAGTCCTTATTGACATTAGTTTCGGCCCCGGGCCGCGGTTTGTGTACAGCTGTATCAACAGGGACGGTCCGGGGGCCTCTACAAACACAGGCCTTTCATTCGGTGATCATTTTTACTAGTTACGCTCTCGGCCGAAAGAAAATGAAGAGTAAGCCGCTTATCTCCTTACTCGGCTTTTTGCTTATGTGTTTTACACGTAGGCCTAGCCGCATTTGTTACATTCGCGTAGTTGTATAGGACGAAACCGAAGGTAGGTTTGTTTTGTATTTCACATAAATCTACTTAGATTTATATAGATGTTATGGCTGGAGTCTTTCACCTTCCGAATTGAACCAGATGCTTGTCTGTCTTTGCTATCATAAACTTATAGCAAATAGAAAAAAATCCGAATTGTCTTTCGATGTAGACTCATTACAATGTAATAAATAATTTTATTAGACAACGTGGGACTAGGTACACAAATATGCATAAAATATAAGAGCATTTGTAAATAGGCCTCCTTCTAAAAATACGCGATAAATGCGATCAGCGTGGTTTACGTAGTCTCGTAGCACGTGTAACTCGGCATTTACAGTCAAATGTTATCAGACGCAGTCGCCGTCGCAATGTTGCTCAAATTGGCTTCCACGAAGCTCCTAGTCATAACGCTTCGTAGCTGTTCAGGCGGGTCGCTTAAGAGAATCGCTTTCGAACGCGTGCGAAAGACAGCCGATATTGCGATACAACACATAATCGATATTCAGTTAGTGCTCTGGATAAGGCTCTGTTCAAAGTCCAGAAGTGCATCTTGCATTATCTTTAATATGGTACTATTTTTGATCTCACTTATTTAATCGAAGAAAAATATGAAAAAAGTTATATTCTAAATCATGGGAAATTAAAATCTAACACGCAGTGTATGAGGAGATTTCTGAGCCCCTTTCGCTGGTAAATACCGGGTTAAAAATAAGTCTTATTGTATGCATTTGAAAAAAATATTGGGCGTTCGTTTTAATGATAAAAATAAGTTATAAGATAATATTTATAAGAGATAAGAATAAATTAAAAATCTATTTACATAAAAAAATTATAATAAAGGTGTGTTTGTGTATTTTACGATTGTATAGTCTCTAACTTTAAACAACGACGTTTTCAACAATAGTTCTGTTATATTATAATAATAACTCGTGTATCTATAACAATAAAGACTCGCCTTAATATCTGTTGCCATCAGAAGTTACTACACAAATTTATTGTTTCCCGAACTGTATCTTCGGTAACTATGAAACAAGTATCTGAACTTACAAACGTATTGCCGGCCATAACGTGAAATATTTATAACCCTAACCGAGTTACGCAGTCGCTACACACAGTATACATTACTATTGTATTGAATCTTTCAAGTAGTTGCATTACGAAGATAACCTTCGATGTACGGCATACATTACACTAAAACCAGGAAACCACTGATAAGATTTGGCGTCTTGATTTGTTTTACGAGAATGGCCGTCGAACAAAGTACCTCGAAGACCAAGTACGACATTAAGCGGAATCGGTCCATACAAAACCGTCAATGTAAAGAAATCTTAGATAAGGGTGGAAGAGAAAATACGACTCATTTATATAAGGAAAAGGCTTATAAATATTGAGAAACGTAATGTTCGTCAATATTAGATGTTATCTGACTGTACATGTTTGTATTGCTCCCGATATTATGTTTACGCTTTAAGATTGCGGTCGAAACATTGTTATACAAAATATAAATCTTATCTTTACACTGTAGCACTGAAATCCTATAGAATATTATGCTGAGTGTTTTTATTGTGGATAGATATTCCAATTTATACTTTAAATAATCCCATAAAGTTAAGTCTTAATTAAGTGGAATGTTCGAGCAGCAATCGATTGTTCGGCGAATAGTGCCAATCTAAGTGATTAATGCCTCTTAGAGGATTGTCTCAAGTCCAGGAAGCTGCTCGGGTACAAGAAGTTGGATTGTTTGATACCACCTAATCGCTCCCGGGAGAGCCCGACAAGGTTTAACTCTGTCTACTCACTTGTGACTTTCCATGCTATGTATATTTAAAAATTACATTTACTTTATTAAAAACACTCAGACTTTTAATGTTTGGTAAAACGTAAAGAGTAAGATTGCATCATTTTATTATCAGGCGCATAAAATAATAATAATTTTATGTAAACAATACTTTAGACCGTCTGAAATGCGCCAGTAATCATTTTTTTATTATAATAAGAAAACTTCAAGAAAAATTTCAAGAGACAAATGTATATAATTGTTTATCAAGAAAACTTATTTTTCAGCGAAGACAAATCAAACCATTGTGTATACCTTATTTTAAGTAATCTAAAAAGAAAACGTATTTTCCAACTCGGAATAATAATTCAAGCTATAATAAAGTGATTTCGTTAATCTATTATACTAATAATTTTGCTATTTGTATAATCTGTACTAGTTTGTGATCAGACAATGTCAATTGTCAAAACGACACATTCGATTTAGACAATTCTGTATTTCCCTTGTCAAAGAATTGTTAAGGACGCATCGCGATGCTATAGCATCGCACCGGTATTAAAATAATATTGTTTAATTTTAGATTTTGTGAATAAAGTGTGTATTGTTTCAAAAGTAAAACCTGTACTAAAATGCTGGTTCTCTTCGAAACCCCGGCGGGGTACGCTATTTTTAAGGTATGCATTTAGTCCACACGTGTATAACATAACCTCAAAGAAACGCATAGTTGCCTCATTAAAATACCTCTGCCCTAAGTCATATAATGATAATCAATCATATAATTGAATCAAATCAAATACGATTTTGCTGTTAATTATTTTATTGAGGCAATAATTTAGTATATATATTTAGTTTGTATTTGAGCAGCTCACACCAACTTAAATAGTTATTTGTAATAGATGTTTGCTTGTTTTAGTTGTTGGATGAGTCAAAATTATCTGAAATAGATAATGTTTATCAAGAGTTCAACACACCAGAGGGGGCTGCTTCAGTGTGAGTAAATAAATAGATTTTAATCCTTTGTTTTTATTATATAATATATAAAGAGGATTAATGCATGCATAACATGGAAAAATAGATTTGTATAGTATGTATTTAAAGTATGTTAGTGTCAAGGTCAAAGTTACACTCCAGGAGTAGTGGATGCGAAACATTTGGAAGTTAATTGTCACTCAATTTGTTGAAAAAGCTTTTTAGTAATATCTAAATTAAAGTTTATGTTTAATAATATTAAACTATTAAATGGAGTACTTGAATTTTCTGCATATTTTTATTTGTTTTCCGAAATACAAAGTATTAGTATATTTACAGGGTAAAGCTGAAAAACTTTATAAAATTTGAAGATACAACTGAAGCTCTTGCTGCAACAACTGCAGCTATAGAGGGAAAGATTTCTAAAACACTAAAGAAAGCTCTTAAAAAGTATGTCAGCAAAGACATACAGGATCAACTGCTCGTTGGAGATGCAAAGTTAGGAAATGCTATCAAGGAGAAATTTAACTTACAATGTGTATCAAATAGTAATGTGCAGGAATTGATGAGGTGTATCAGATCGCAAATGGATAGCCTTTTGACTGGTCTACCAAAGAAGGAAATGACTGCTATGGCTCTTGGTTTAGCCCACTCCCTCTCTCGATACAAGTTGAAATTCTCCCCTGACAAAATTGACACTATGATTGTCCAAGCACAATGTTTACTGGATGATTTAGATAAGGAATTAAACAACTATGTTATGAGATGTCGCGAGTGGTACGGCTGGCATTTCCCCGAGCTAGGAAAGATTATCACAGATAATACGCTCTTTGTTAAAATCGTCAAACTAATGGGTACTAGGGATAATGCAGCAAGTACGGACTTATCAGATATCCTACCAGAGGATTTGGAAGAGAAGGTCAAGGAAGCGGCTGAAATCTCTATGGGAACAGAAATATCGGATGATGATATTATGAATATTCAGAATTTATGTGATGAGATAATTAACATAACCGACTATAGGACACATTTAACAGACTACTTGAAGGCAAGGATGATGGCAATGGCACCAAATCTCACTGTGTTAATTGGGGAACATATAGGAGCTAGATTAATTGCACATGCTGGTTCTCTGATGAACCTGGCTAAACACCCAGCCTCCACAATACAGATATTTGGTGCCGAGAAGGCTTTATTTAGAGCTTTAAAGACTAAAAAAGACACTCCTAAGTATGGTTTGATCTATCATGCACAATTAGTTGGTCAGTGCAGTACGAAGAACAAAGGTAAAATGTCCAGAATGCTAGCGGCAAAGGCGGCGTTGGCTACGCGCGTGGACGCCTTTGGTGATGAAGTGTCTTTTGAACTTGGTGCTGAACATAAAGTGAAGTTGGAGAACAGATTAAGGCTACTAGAGGAAGGAAACTTGAAAAGGTTGAGTGGAACTGCCAAAGCTAAAGTGAAGTTTGAGAAATACCACAGTAAAACGTAAGTATTTTTGATGCATTATGTTTTTTTTTAATTTCCTTCAATATAGTATTATAGCAGAAACTAGATTACCACTACTACCAAGCAAATTTATTACTTTTGTTGAAATTAATGATTTATGACTAATCTTTATATTTTTGCCTATTTTTTAATGTTGCACTTAATTTTTCATATGCACTAGACACTTTAACAGCTATATAACTTTTTATCTTCCAAACAACACAACATAATTTCCAAAATGTTTCAGCTTTAAGAGGTACTTTATACTAATTGTTTTTCACAGCGAAGTGCATCATTACCCCACAGCGGGTGACAGCACCCTGGGTCAGAAGCCAATCAAGAGGGAACATTCGCCTGATACGGAGGCACCCACCAAGAAGATCAAGCTGGAAGATGGTGCTGAAGATGTAAGTGTTAAATAATTTATTTACACAATTGAATGTCTCCTTCCCATAGCAGCAAGTCGTAGATGTACTAATCATCAATTTTAAATTCGGTATTTTATTTAATATTATTTAATATGTTAGTCCTCCATAGTGGTTACAATCACTTGCTTGTTTATAAATTATCATTTAAAATTATCTTTACATATTCATATTTTGGCGCGTACATTCATAATATTTATATGTCACCTAATACATTATAACTTCTTAACATTTTCTGCTATCTGTTGAATTTTTTGTTATAAATATATGTAGTACAGATTTTAAAAAGTTCATGTGATTTTTTTTGTTTATCATGATTAGATTTTTTGTTGAATTTATCCATTGAAATGACTTTGTTAGTTTTCTAAGTTCTTTTAATATTGTGGTTTATATTATACAGGTCACACCAAAAAAAAAGAAACCAAAAACAGAACCCGCCGATGAAATAGATGGTCAGTTGAACGGCTCGGAACCAGTCTCCGAGAAGAAGAAGAAAAAGAAGAAAAACAAACAGTCACTTGAGGCAGAAGCAGAAATTAAGGAAGAAGAGGTTAAACTAGAAGAAAATGTGGAAGTGAAGACACCGAAAAGTGAGAAGAAGAAGAAAAAGAAGAAGTCAATGTCTGAAGATGCATAAACTATAGATGCACTATTAAAGAAAATATTGGTTGGCCTCTGTGAATATTAGAGTTAAGACTCTGTTTTAGTGTTAAGCATATTATGTCTCACTGTGAGACGATACCTTTAAGTATAATAAATAGTTTTATACTTACACTTGTTTGACAAACCCTAAGAAAGTCTCACTACTAAGCAAGATCTTTTGGTTATTAAGTGTAGAGTTTAAAACATCTTTCTTGAAATTTGTATGAAATTCTTATTTTACTTATACTTATTAATTTTTAATTTTAGTTTTTCAATCTAATTTAAAAAACAGAATTAAATTCTAACTATGTTAGATTACATGTTTTTTTGTGTTATATATGATTAACTGATATCAGTAAATAGTACCTTTTACGTCAGAGATATTTTACTGCCTAAATTGTAAATAACGCTGTATTAACTCGAAAAAGCGAGAAAGTCTAGGACTAATACTTCGTAAGTGGTAGACCGTGGTGGTATAAAAATTGTAATGAGGAGGTATGCATGCTTAGCTTTCGCCACACAAACATATCCAGCTCAATTAAATCACAATAACTTCCGGCTAGAAGCGCTAGTCCCGTGAAACCGCACCAGATGAACAATGCGCTGTGCGGTCATAATTATTTTCCTCCCTTTCACGGTTATTTGAAAACTATTCAATTTCACTTAATGAAACTATCGATTAGAAATAATATCTACAGTAGTTGTAAGTTACTAATTTTGACGGCCTCCGTAGCTCGGTCGGCTGGGCTAAAATCATCAACTACTTTCAAGTAAATAAATACTATTGCCCAATACCCTACAGGAGACACGATTTCACTTTTAAGTTATTTTGGGACATAATTTTTATCAGTTTTTATTTTATTTCTAGATATGTGTTTCACCTAAAACAGCCATAGAACAGTTATAATTTTTCTCCTTTTTTATCTTAAAAAACAAAATTTGATCGTTCCTGATATGTAAAACAAAGTATTTCCCATTCATCTATGCTACTATCGAACTATCTACTGCGTGCGGCAAGAGCCCATGTTTTCTTCAGGTATTTTTAGCTACTAATGGTAGAACTGCATTTCCCGTTCTAGAGACTACAGATTGTGAAAAAGACGTAGGTAACTTACCAATAATAAAAGCGCATAGTGTTTATGGAAACCTTGTTTGAAGTGAAAGCCCGTTTCCCCCTAGTGGGGCATGGGGCGAACACATTTCTGTGTCCGTTTCACTTATCAGTTCTTTTAAGGGGCAAGTAGTTGATCAGACTTCTGTGCCCCGCCCGACCGAAACAATTGTTTTTTATTTCCCTGGGATTCGAATCCAAGACCTATCGCGCTCAACGCAATGCTAGGCAATACGTTTAACCATTTGGCTACAGAGGCGGTTAAGGAAACCTTAAAGAGCATGAATTAAAATGGCTTTTAAAGCTCTGAAAATAGAGAAATATTGTTTTCATGAAGAGTCGAGCCTCTGGGTACATTGCACTCTCTCGGTCACCAACTACGAGTACCTACTAACGTCGAAGGCCCTCTGCGTCATGTAAACCTCCACTTTTTATTGGTCGCTTATACCGTATGATTATATTGCATTCATGCTTTACGTTCGAGCTTTTGAATGGTACAATGTTGTACTATATGTATCCATTCCAGGCGAAGTCAAAGATGAAAGGAGAACAAGTTTAAAAATAATTATAAATAGATAAGAAATATGTTGGATCCGGTGCAAATCGAAGCCACGACTCGTTTATTATGAGCCATAGATTGCTACCATTACAGTAACAAGCCCTTAAAAAATATTTAGATTTCTTGTCGGTTGTGAATTCGAACTTCGGGTCCCCTTTGTAAACTATATAATATACTATATAATATTAATGATTCAACCCTTGAATGCACGAACGTAGGTATATCGTGAAACTGTTGATCTCTCGTTGAGAATATACCTATTCCCTGTGTCTACTCGTTGACGCCTCTTCGCAAAATAAGAAAACAGCTCTAATGCCAAAAACATACTGAATAGAAACCGCTAAACTTCCATTCCAATTAAGTATATTGTAGAGTTGTATTAGCCTTAATTAACTAAATCCTTGCGTCACAAAACTAACACGATCGTGTACATTCCGCAGCCTGTTAGTGCTTTTATTCGTGGACTTTAAAGAAATAAGTAATGTATCGTGTCTTGCGAAATCGACGCTCCGTCGTCGTGAAGTAGTGGAGGGAAAGATGCTTCTCTCGACTACTCCATGACGATTTGGCGAAAATATTGGTGATCTTGAATGTAGGTAATAGCGTAGATATAAAGTTAGTGGTCCAGAGGTAGGCTAGATTCATTTTATGTCTTCCGTTTATGGCTCACGAGATACCTATCGTGCTAGATAACGATTTAATGGAATAGTAAAAGTCAGGAGAAAGAATGAGAGCTCACTGGTCAGACTAAGTAATACATGTACCAATTTAGACACAGATTATATACATTCGTTGATCGTTGCATATGACATAAGGTCTCGATAGCCGCCCTTTTAGGATTTTTTAAAAATTCCGAAGTAAATTGTTTAATGAATAGGTAAAAACATTACATTATTTGAAGATAAAAAATATTGAAAAGATGAAATATAACATAAATATTTTATTATATAAATTTGTTTTACTTATTTTTAGATATCTCTAATAGTAGTCTATATTTATAGCCTATACTGTATTTTTGACGCAATAATTTAAATTAACTTTGTTTTTTTTTATAACATGAAGTCAGAGTGCCAGTGTCATGATAAAACTTTGGTTTAGATATGAAATGTCAGACGTATGTACTTGGCATGTACATGTCGCGTAAGGTCGGGAAAGTACAATTACTCCCGCCTTTTTAGCGGGCGTCGAGATATAAATTATAATTTATTTAATTTACCTGTTGAGAAATGATTTTAAAAATATGTGGCGACGAGTGCGATTGGAAAGGATACTAAAATAAGCGGCCCGAAAATGCAGATAATTGAAAGGTTAGTTTTTATTTTTTTAGAGTAGTATTATGGTAGTTTAAGACCAATGAAACAATAACTTTTAGTATATGTTTAAATAAAACACTAACGGCTTAAAACGCGATATATTAGTTAAACTTATTTGAAAATGATTTTTAACTTCGGCCTGGGTATTTCGGATGCTTTGTAGCAGCCGTGGTCACAGTCTCCGAGTGACGCGACTCCCGTGACCCGATATCGCGTTTTGAACCGTTAAAGTGTTTTATTTAAATGTGTACTACTCGCGTAAACAATAGACAGTATTTTAGTATATGTGTTTAACCTAAAGGTCTGTACGGCAGTGCTAAAATTAAAAGTGAATTACCAGATTTGAATATTAACATCTACTTTTTTATCAAACAAATATCAAACATACTATTCGGTATCCGGCCTATTCGGCCGTTATTTTACTATGCGGCCGAATACCGGATAGTTGCGCATTATCCGGCCGGATACCGAATAGTGATTCTGTTTGCTATTTAACTTTGAAAAATGGTTTGTTAGTATGTATACTACAAAAGTTATTTATATTTTTTTTATTATTATAAAATTATATTAATAAATATGAATAAAATAAAAATTGATATTTTGTTGTCGTTTCTTGTAAGAAAAAAACAACAAATTACAAACATTCGTTTATCACGTACAATTTAAACTTAGAAAGAAGATTTCTTAAATATTTCAAATGAGGTCATTTGAAATATTTAAGAAATCTTATGATCAGCATTAGGTATCCATTCAACCAACCGTAGGGTATCGTATGTTAATTTTTAATCAAATAAAATAAGTGTTACCAAATAAATAAAAAGAGAGAACAATACGTAACACGTTGAAACCTGCACGACGCGCCCGCCGCCAAACTAAGATGTAAGTACATAGGTATCGTGTGGCCGGCCGAATATTCGGCGGCCGGATACCGGATATTCGGCCCAACTACTATCCGTTGCATCACTACTAAAAACTATCTATCTATAAAAACGTAATGTCCGGTTGGTTTTATAGACTCCAAGGCAACAACCGCGAAAGTCTTGTAACATCTTCGTGAAAAGAAATTAATAACTAGACCATATTTCTGTTACTTCAGTAGGTTTATTTATTTAAAAGAACAATTGGTATAAATACCTATATAGGTATATACCAACTTCATATTTATAGTTTCAGTTCGGTCTTAACTTTCGTATCTACGATTTATATTAACACGACTCCCCAAAGAGAAATTGACGTTAAGTATAACACAGAGTGAAAATACGAATATTTTGCGTAGGGGCAACCTTTTGTATTTACTTGGGCACTGCTACTTTTAGACGATGTCTAAACCAATTGAATATAATATGACGCGTATCTTTGAAGTTTTGCGATGGCCCCGCGAGGACGTCAACAAAGGTCTTCGACATAAATACACAAAAATACGTGTGTCATCTGTCGTCGTGGACAAACTATCAGTACAAAAGAACAAAGGGAGTTATTAGATTCGCAAATCGATGCCCGAAGGTAACCCAATTGTCTCGTATGTGTAGTCGGGATGTTTGCGTGAGTCCGATACGCCTTTTGTCCGTAAATACAATAACGGAACGGGACGAATAACGTAATGGTATTGATCGAGTTAGGAAATAAGACACTCGTTCTTTCGTTACGGAGTCGCCCAGTGAAGCGTTAAGGATGAAGGAAATGTAACGAACGGTCAAACATCAGTCATTTCGCGTAATATCATTTACATGGTCGATTGTGAATCGGCAATCTTGGCGATTGCGCATGATGTTCGCAGCGAGGTCTCCGTTTTTCGCTCTCATATCTTAAATTGATTTAATATAATTAATCTTTCACAAAATCTTAAATTACTAATAATAATTATTATGAATAATCCTTGAATTAGGAAGTAATAAATTTTGTCAATGGCTTTACTGATGTTATTTGACATTAATGACGCCACAGTTATGGGTTTCTTTATAGAAGTTGTATAAAACTTTAGAATTATATTTTTAATTTAAAAATCGAAAGTA